GCTCCTGCTCCTCCCCACCTCCCCGCCAATCGCCAAGCCATCCCAGCGTTGAGATCAGCAGCTCCACCAGCTCGCAGCGTGCAAGCACCGAACACCGGCCATGCCACGCGCAGAGCTCTGCCGGGATCACAAATTTTCCACTTCACGCCACCCCAACCCAGTTTGGGTCTGATTCTTCGCCAGAGCCCCGCGCGGCAGTGGGCACCCGCAGAGCTATTTAAAGAAAATCCCACTACCCGCGAGAGCGAAGCTGAGCAGGGAGGCAGCACTTACGCCAAGAGCTTCTTGCGGGCTTTATCGGCCTTGAGCTTGTGGATGTGCTCCATCAGGATCCGCTTGTTCTTGAACACATTACCCTTGACCTTCAGGTACAGGCTGTGGTACCTAACGGAGCAGAACAGAGCGGACTGCAAATGAGGCCGCCCGGGAGACCAAACCATGGCACAGCTTCCAGACACCCTGCACCCCTCCTGGCACACGAGCGCGGCGTGAGGAGCGAGGTCACTCTGAAACCGCTGCTCGGGCTCTTCCCTGCGCTGTGCAGGCAGAGGGCTTGTCCAGACAACTGCCGGGATTCCTCCGGAGCAGCTCTCTGGAGCAGCACTGCCTGGGGAGGATTTATTTTCACCAATCTGCACACAGCAAGAAAGGGGTGTCTGAGCATGTGGAGGCACGACCTGAAGCTGGGTGTGGCACAGCAGACTTACATATGGCGATCGATCTTCTTGGACTCCCTGTATCTGCGGAGCAGGCGCCTCAGGATTCGCATCCTCCTCATCCAGGTCACCTTCTCGGGCATACGAGCATTTGCCGTACCCTTTCTCTTACCTAGAGAGAGAAAAGAGGATGAGAACAAGGCCAAATTTTTTCTGCAAGCTGAACAACACGCTTTTGCTGAAGGAAGAACTTCTTCCCTCTGAGGGTGACGGAGCCCTGGCCCAGGCTGCCCAGGGAGGCTGTGGAGTCTCCTTCTCTGGAGATATTCCAGACCCGCCTGGACGCGGTGCTGTACAGCCTGCTGTGGGTGACCCTGCTTCGGCAGGGGGTTGGGCTGGGTGACCCACAGAGGGCCCTGCCAACCCCGAACATTCTGTGATTCTGTGATTCTCTTCAAGAAGAAAACCATTAACATATAAACTGTATTTTTAGGCCCTGCCACAAGACCTCTGGAGACCTTTGCTCAGTGGGAGCTTGTAGGCGGAGCAAGTACCACGGAAAACAGACACGTCTCCAGCTCTCAGGGGGAAGCCAGCACTTACCGATGCCCATGTGCCGGCCCTTCCGGCGGGCCAAGGTGTTCTTCCTGCATCGGGCACGAGAGTGAACGGTGACAGGTTTGCGGATGATCAGACCATCTTTAATCAATTTCCTGATCTGCTGACCTATGGGAAGAAACTCCACGTTCAACATCTTCTGTGCAATGAGAGGACACGTTAGGCAAGTACAGACTCCCATCCAGCTTGTATGAAAAGGATCCACCACAAAGGACAATGCAGACCTTCCCCCAAAGCCCCCTCACGCTGCTAGAGCCGCTCTCTTCCCCTCCCATTTCTCCCTCCCTGGCTACCTCAGGACACCACGTACTAAACCCCGTACCAGGAGCTTGCCAGGCCCCACATCAGTGCCCTGGGAGCTCTGTAAATCCCGCTGACGGCCTCATTTCCACTTCTAAATACAAAGGAGTTGCTCAAGCCTCAGGATTTTACCTGAGCCAACCTCGCCTCTCCTGAGCCAGTCAAAAAGCCTCTCCCCGCACCCCTCTTCCAGAGGGCAATGCCAGCGACGCGCAGCGCGGCCGCGCCCGCGGGAGACGACAACTTACGCGAGTTG